ATCAGCCTTTTCCAACTGGGGAGCAAATGCCTTCAGGCCACTTCCTCTGGGGAGCCTTGGCTGACTTCTGTAGGCAGCCTGGCTCCTGACCTTTAAAGGTCCAGAGACCTTTTGTTTGGTATGGTATTTGATGCCTTCCTGGTATTTTCATGATTTGCTTGTTGTTTAACTTCATTCATTCACTCACTCATTCATTTATTAAAACATTTTTTAAAATGAGCACCTAGGGGCGCCTGGGTGGCTCAGTCGGTTAAGCGTCTGCCTTCGGCTCGGGTCACGATCCCGGGGTCCTGGGATCGAGTCCCACATTGGGCTCTTTGCTGAGCAAGGAGCCTGCTTCTCCCTCTGCCTGCCTCTGTCTCTCTCTCTCTCTCATAAATAAATAAAATCTTTAAAAAATAAATAAATAAAATAAAATGAGCACCTACTCTGTGCCAGGCCCTACGACAGGTGTTAAGGGTAAGTAGGTCAGAGATGGGGCCTACCCTCACAGAGCTTACTGTATGGTAAGCTGCTACCAGAAACAGACAAGTATATGTACATACAACAACAGCCAGTGAAAACCCTGGAAGGTAGGACTGGTGTGGGGCATCAGCCTGCATCACAAGGGGTTTGACTAATGTTTGTAGAATGTAAAAATATTTCCATTAGTCCCCATTTTTTTCACATTAACAGGGGAATAAACAAGATATGGGACTATCTAACGGGGTTCCTTCAAATTGTTCTCTCTTGGCCTCAGAATGCATACTCTCATGTATAACAAAGAATTTGACTTTTTCCCTCAGCCTCAAGTCCCTCCTTAGGCATCCCTGACATTAAGGCCCTACTCAGAGGCTGAATGGAAAGCAAGAGGAACGAGGTCCCAGACACCAGTGGCTAGCCAGAGAAACCTGTTTCCAGAGATATGCAAAAGGCTGCCATGTATGACCGTATACCCCCCCCCACACCCACACATACACTTACCACCACGCTTTGCAAACAGGGTTTGGACTCATTAAGCCCACCCCTAATAAATCTGGTCTGCTGTTAGTTGAACCACATAGAGTTGCTGCTCTTTGACTGTTTTTGGCCTGCCCAAATAGCGATTTCATATGGTTCAACCTAATATATCTGAGAATAAATACAAAAAGCCATACCTAAAGGAAGAGCTTGGACCAACCCACCCACCCATCAGATCACTTCTCTGATGTAATCTTAGGGAGGGCAGGGCTGGAATGTAATAACAATTGAATGATCAGCAATCTTTTTTTTTTTTAAGATTTTATTTTTTGAGAGAGATGGGAAAGCACAGAGGCAGAGTGAGAGGGAGAAGCAGACTCCCTGATGAGCAGAGAGCCTGACGTGGGGCTCGACCCCAGGACCCTGAGGTCATGACCTGAGCCGAAAGCAGTTGCTGAACCGACTGAGCCACCCGGGCGTCCCAAATGATCAGCAATCTTATCAACTGTGTCGTATGGAGAAAGCAGAAAACAAGAATGAGGGAGGAGGCTGGAGAATAGAAAGGAAAAAGAAGTAGGGTAAAGCCAAGAGGCCAGCAGGTGACACTTATTACCTACCACTGTCAGGGAAAGAGCAACAGGAAACTGGAGCTCATACAGATGTGCCCTGCTGTGAGGTGGTGATGACTCACTAAGCCCCACCCTGACTTAAAAGAAATCTGCCCACAGCTAACTCTTGGGATATACTCAACAAACAGCCAGCTGATGGCTGATTTGGCTCTCTGACTGCTGATACTGGGAAAAGGGTACCCCAGTTGAGGGAGGAGCATTCCATTTACTGAAGGACTAACACCAACTGTAAATGAATACGCGAGTATCTGGCTATATACTTCAGCCTCCTATGAGTTGGATCGCTGGGAGTCAGGCTTCTCCAGGCAGCTGGACCTCAGAGCACCGACTTGGCTGTGAAACAGGTTCAGCTCTCTGGTAAATTCATCAAAGTAAAACAACCCTGGGTGATCTCTTTGAGAGCAAGTCAGATGGCTCTGGCACTAAGCAAAACCTTATGACTCAATCATTTTGATCACAGAGTGCAAAGGACGTAATTATGTTGGAAAGGCATGATTATCCTGTTGCTGACCCTGACTCCATTCCCGGTCCTATCTCATGACTCGACAAGTAGATGTGAAGTCCTCTGGCCCCGGTTACCAGGTCAGTAGGTCAATGCAACCGTCATTCCTACTTGGGCTGAGAGGGCAGGGCAAGGATGAGGGTACAGGGAGCACAGAGAGGTCTCCCCCACGCCAAAGGCAAGTCCTTTATTTCTTCTTCCTGCTCTTTACTTCAGGGTCAAGTGCCTGCTTTCTGGAGTCAGACCTGGATTCAAATCGCAGCTCTGCCTCTTCCCAGCAAGTCTCTTAACTTCTCTGCCGCTCGGGTGTTTTCATCTGTAAGGGCGATGATGAACACACCTGCCTGTGGAGTTGGGAGGACTGTAGGAGGGAATGAATAGAGGACCGCTCAGCTCAGTGCCTGGAATTGTCAACCCAAGTAATGTTAGGTATCGTTGTTATCAAGAGTGTTCATGTTATCGCTAAGGCACGTATCATGAATCACAGTTCTGTGGGGTGTTTGGGGGCCCTTCCTTGTATCTGTCCTCTCTGGCCCTGCTTCTTCTTCATTCCTGGTCTCCAGTGTCCACCCCAGAGGAGACAATCACTGAACAATTTGTTGACAGAAAAAAAAGTGCCATGCTTTATATTTGCAGTTACTAAATATGAAGTAACTTAGTATTTTGGCATCTTCTCTCAAATCTGATTATATAGTTTTTACTCACGTTAAACTGTCTGTGACCTCAAGATGTCTGGATCAAAATGGCCACTATAAAAAATACTGTCTAGTGACAGACTGAGCACTTCACTACTACCGGCTGTTCCACTCAGTCTTTGGAGCTGGGGAGTCCCTCTCCCACTCAGCCCAAAGAGAACTGGACTTCCTGGCCTACTACTCCTCAGTCCAGCATCTGAGGGAAGAAGCTATGGGTCTCCTTAGGTAATCACTGATAAGCCTCCTGTCAGATTATTATACAGAAGAAGAAAGCATTTGGATGATCATGACCCAACCTCCTGTATGGAGTTAATCTTAGATGGTGTGATTCTGTGATCTGCCCTCTTCAACAGCCCCCCCCTCCCCACCAGCCTCAGGGGACCTTTCCACACAATAGAAGGCCCTGCCTGAGGAATGCTGAAAGGTTAGAAACTGGAAAATTTTTGTGAGGTTGCCTGGGGCTTTCTCCCTTGTTGCTGGCAAATCTCCTTCCTACTGGCATCTGTGGGTCTTGGCCCCGGAGGAACAAATACCATGTCATGTATTTGTAAACAATTGTAAATTTATGTAACAATTATATGTTATGTATTGAACCCACTGACAAACATAGCTGGACCAAGAATAACTCCATTCGTAAATTCTCCGTAAAATGGCAAAGTTAATTAAAGGCTCTTAGTGATACGGCGCCTCCTCCCCCCCTCTGCCCCCACGCCCATGGCTAAGAAGCTCAGATCCCAACCTACCCCTGCCCCACCCGCCAAATTGTAGCAGATCTGCAGTTGTTCCAAGAGGGTTTATCACCATCTACCCACCCAATTGCCGCATCCGTAGGCCCTTCACATTTCCCAGGATAGCCTACACGGAAGGGAGCCCCTTTGCCTGGGTGTAGAAAATGTGAAGCCTGAAAAATCTCCTCTCTTAACTCTCAAATATGACAGTTGGAACAAAAATGACCTGGACTTGCCTGACCAGCCTCAGTTGAAACCGACTCTAAGTATGTAGCTAGACTATTAACCCTCTGGGTTCCCCAAGGACTTTCTGTCCCAGCTCTCTCCAAATACTGTCTCCAGAGTCCTCTGCCCCGGCTTGCCCCTTCCTGGACTTCTTTCCTTGACCCTGCCTACCTGGCCCCCTCTAGCTTCCCCCCCATGAAACTCACAGCACCACTGGCCCTCCTGTAGATTTGGTGGATACTGGCTTTCTGTTCAAAGATGATAGGTTTCATGTTTTATAGATTTGTTTACTTTTACATACCTTAGCTCCTCCTCTTGGGCTTAAAAAGAAAGAGGGCAAAAGGAAAACTACAGGTAGGCAAGGAAGGGAGGTCAGAAACAAGGGGATTTTCTTCCTGGGGCTCCATCTGGGGTAGTGCTTTCCCCTAAGTGTAAAATCCATGGGAATCTTTGAACTGAAACCCTCCAGGGACGTGATGACCAGCTCAAACAGCCCCTTAAGATGGGGTAGTTTGGGACTCCCCTCCTAGGAAGGAAAGGGCTCGCAGCCTCATGGGCTGCTGAGGCCTCAGGGCCTTCCCCCTGTGTCCTCACTTCTCCTATTGGGCCTGCTGTGGCTCTCCAGATCTCTCTCCCTCCTGGCCTTTGGGGCCCTCCCTCCCAGGTCTGCGTCCCTGGTCCTGGCAGAAGTCGGCCTGGCCCCGGTGCTGCCCCTAGACACCCCTAGCTCACCTGGTCCCATTATTCCCTTCCGGCTTCTCCTCCTATCCGCCCCCCCGCCCCCCACCGCCCCGGCTATGCTGGAGTCCTCCCTACCCCCACCCTCCATCCTCTCAATCACTAAATCCTGCCATTGCCCTCCATCCGGGGTGTTCTTTCCAGATAAAAATCAGATTGGGTCATCACTCCTCTGTTTAAAACCGTTTAATGGCTACCCATTGCTCTCAGGGTATGGGCTAAAATTCTTAACAGGATTTAAAAACCTTTTACCTGGCCCTTTAGAAATAACAGGATTTGTAATCTTTTCAAAATCAACAAGAATCCTGACATAATCTTCATTTTTCCAGCTGCCAAAGCTATTTAAGATTAATGAGGTCTGCATTAACTTGATAAAAGGTGATTAACTCATCTGGGCTGAATGGGTGTGAGTTTCAAGGCAGCTCTTTCTCTCCTCTTTCTCTGCTCCACCTAGGACACTTTCCTTAGGCAACTGTACACCCAGGTTCACTACGGCAGTCAGTGTGGAGAGGAGAATGGCTGGAGAAGTCGGGTAGATGAGACTCCTGGTAAGACCCAAGGAACCCAAGAAAGGCTCACCCCTCCCTTTAGAATTCCTACTCTGTGGCATGATGCAACTGTCAGAATGCTTTTAATGGCAAAAAGAAGATCTGGAAGGAATGTAAATGCTCAACAGGAGGGGAATGGTATGTAAACTATAATTAGAATAATATGTGGCCATTTACTGGGCACCTGGGTGCCTCATTCAGTTAAGTGTGGAGTCTTGGTTTCAGCTCAGGTCATGATCTCAGGGTCATGGGAACGAGCCCCGTGTCGGGCTCCACGCTCAGCAGGGAGTCTGCTGGAGATTCTCTTCCTTTCCCTCTGCCCCTCCCCTGCTTTCTCTCTCCCTCAAATAAATAAATTTTTAAAAAATATATGTATATGGCCATTTAATAGGAAGGTCTGAAGGCTTTGCAGCCATATGAAGAGACCACATATGGTGTCACATTAAGTGGAATGTCGACCACAGTTGGAGCCCAGAGAGGTGTTTATAGGGAGGTGAGGTGGTAACAAAAGCCTGAATCTTGTAGCTGGATAGACCAGACTGGGCATTCAATTCCCATTTCCCCCACTCACGAGCTGTGTGATCATCTGCTAGTGACTGAACTTCTTTGGGCTTTGGCTTCTTTTTTTAGATGTAAATAATGCTATAAGCTGGATTGGGACGCGTGAGTGGCTCAGTCAGTTCAACATCTGCCTTTGGCTCAGGTCATGATCCCAGGGTCCTGGGATCGAGCCCCGCATCAGGCTCCCTAATCAGTGGGGACTCTGCTTCTCCCTCTCCCCCGTTTGTGCTCTCTCCCCCTCTCTCTCTGACAAATAAATAAAATCTTAAAAAAAAAAATAAGCTGGATTGTCTTGAGTATTAGAGATAATGCATGTAAAATGGCCAGACAGAAATCAAATTAGGAACTCAATAAATACTTGTTCTCTTCCCCTTCTCTAAGTTATGTGTGCATGTACACACATACACACACACACACACACACACACACACTTTTTTTTTTGGTAAAAAGACTTGAAGAAAATAATTAACAAGATTAAACACTTTGTTATTCTCCCAACTGTCTCAGTTATCTACTGCTGTGTAACAGACTAGCCTAAAACTTAGTGGCTTAAACAACAACCCTTTTACCATTTCTCACAGTTGTCACAAAAGTCAGGAGTCTTAGCCAGGCAATTCCTCTGCTCCATGTGGCATGAACTGAGGCATTAGATCAGTGGTGACTGGGCTGGTCTGGAGGGTCAAGAGAGCGTCCTTGTTCATGGGTCTAATGCTGTGGTGAAGCCGACTGCAAGGCTGGGCCCAGCCAGAGCCACTGGCTAGTGGGGGAAGAATCACAGGAAGAGAAACTGTAATATGCAAATGTGTGAAGACTTCAAAATGACAAGGTGCTTTCAAGCATTGAATGAAAGAAAGCTTGCATCTGTTTGGGACGTTCTGAGAAGGTCTTTTTTTTTTTTTTTTTTTTTTCATATGACCTTACAGGGTATGGTGGAAGAGTTCTGGCCGAGCTGGGGTGGAAGGCATCTTGGAGGAAATAAAACAGCCCTAGCCAAAGAACCAATGTGGGAAAATCCGGGACCTGTTTGGAGATGAAGGAGTAGATAAATTTGGAATGAAGTGTAGTCACAGGTGCTAAGTCTGAATAAGCCATGCTGTGAGGGACTTTTGAATGCCAGGGGAGGGCAAGATCTCTTTTATCTGGTAGCAGAGGGGAGGTCTCAGTTGGCCTGAGTGAAAACCCCAAGTGCCTAGAAGGGTCAGGCAAGGAAGATAAATGAGTCAAGTGGGATAGGTATAAAAATAGTCAACTTGGAGGCAGCCACTACTCAGCTTTGGCTCACAGTGGCCCCTCAGGGACACAGAGCCACTTGGTCAGAACTTCATTTTCCAAAAGAAGCCAAAAACAAGAAGTCTTATGTGAAATGTCTCACTTTGAAATTGTTAACAACTAACAAAAACTGTGTGCAGGCTAAACCAACTTGTCTATGGGCCAGAGGAAGCCTTACTCCAAGGCCGCCCTGCTTAGGTGTTTGTAGGGCTGAGCTTGGTGTGGAAGGGCCGCTGGGGCAGAGGTGGTGGAAGGAAGGTCCCAGAAAGGCCTGGCCAGAGAACCTGGCTGCTTTGTCTCTCTTTCTGTCCTGACAGAGAAATCTTAAGGAGCTTACCTCTGAGGTGTTTACATGGTTTTTTGGTTTTTATTTTTGCCTGTTGGAATCTTCTCTACCCTCGTTTGCCAGGGAATTTTGGATTGGGCCTAGCAGCTGGTTCTTACTTTTCAGGCTTTCTAACTGAGAAATCTTATATAACCCATCCCCTTTCAATGGTTAGTTACTTTGTTCCAGGAGTGAGGTCCAGTATAAGCTTTCTCTCTCTCTCTCTCTCTCTCTCTCTCTCTCTCTCTCTCTTCCTGTGTGTGTGTGTGTGTGTGTGTGTGTGAGAGAGAGAGAGAGAGAGAGTTCTTCCTTCCGAAGGACTTTCTCAAGAAAAAAATAGTATCTCTTCTGGACTGAGCTTTCTGAACGGGCAGGAGCTGTTATG